GCTACTAGTCTAGATGGTAGCAAGAGCTTCGTCAGTTCCGCTGGCAGGTGGGTGCTAAGGACGTGGTTGATGACGCCGTGCAGGTAAGAGCATACTTCATTGTTGGTGAGCACAGGGTCTCGGAGGTGCTCGAAGTAGGTGCCTGAGGGTCCCGCTCCAATTCCATTGGGGCATTTCGCCAGGGTGCTTCGCTTTTAATGCTTCCAGGGTCGCATTTGATGGTTCTGCGAGTGGCGAAGTTTGTAACGCAGCTGCTGCTTTTGCGAGATTCGCCTTGCGCACGAGCCCCTCCGCCCTCGCGCAGATGCCCTCTCGGTTCGGCTGGTGACGACTCGGTTGGGAGTTCTGGGGTATGGTGCAGGCCTGGAAAGTACAGTAAGTCCCACTTTTCCAACTTGAACTGGTCCAGCCTTGTCACCACCTCGCTCCACCTGTTTCCAAGTGCGTTCCCAATGTTAGCTCTCAGTGTAAGTCGGGGCAGGAATAGCAACATTCGCCAGGCTCCTTGGCAGGTCAGGTTCTTGGAAAGCCGCAGAAGGGGAATCGTGAGGCAGTAGCTGTAGATTCCGAGAATGTTGGGGGGAAGCTTCCGAGCTAGGAAGGGCTGGGCACTGTTGCGTAGAGGTGACAGGTCCCACTCATTCACCTTCTGCCACGTGGCCTCGTCATCCGCGATATCTGCTGCTGAGCGCTCTCTATTTGCTGCCCTCGCACTAGCCTGTACACTTGATTCGGCCTCCTGGGCTGGTTGTGAGCCACGCGGCCTCCTCTGTCCCTGGTTTGCGCCTGTGTTTGGGATCCCCTCCTCTGCGTCGAGGGAGATATCTTCAGAATCCCTCTCCTCCGATTCGATATATTCCCCGTCACTTCCTTCATCCTCTCCCCTCATTGAGTTTGTGTTCTGTCTTGTGCCAGTCCGCTCCAGCCTTCCGTGTCTTTCCTGCCAGTCCCCCGATCTGGCCTTTTCCCTTGCTACCGCTCGTACCAAGTTTCCCAGGCCTCCTCCCCTGCCTCAGCCCCTCCCTTGCGCTCCTCGCGCTGCCGCCCCAGGCGTCACGGTTTCCGGCGGTCGACCTTCAGCTCTCCGGTTGGCCTGCTCCCGCAAGGCCTGCTGCCGGTTCGTTCCCCCTTGGTGGCGGCCGCGTCTCGCTGCGGCCCTCCTCTCCTCTGCATCTTCGGTGGCGCTCTCCCTCTCCTCTTGCGCCTCCGCCTCTTCTTTCGCGATCTCCAGCGGTGATGACTGGTCGGCGCCGCCCTCCACCTCGGCGACTGCCTGTGGCGGATCTGCCTGATGCGTCCAATGTCAGAATGTTATGCTCTAGCCTGTAGTGGGGTGCTCTATAGCGAGTACAACCCTTCTAGGGTTTCCTATTTGTATCCTCATTCTTGCTAGTGCAAACCCTCTTTTGCCTAAACTCTTTCGGGCCTAGCTAGGGCTTTCCTAGCTATGGCTCCTGATTCTATCTACTATCTTCACATGGTTTCAGAGCGGTTATGCTCTCTGCCTGTGGGTACTACTGCTTCCACTGCTACACGCTCTGTCGCACGCCGCGTGGCGTGCGACGCATCGCGGCGATTTGCACTTTGGCGCGCGCCTCGGGGCGCGCGGCCCCTTTCTTTTCTGGCGCGCCACCCGCTGCCCCGCCGCGCCGCCCAGGGGAGCCGCGCGCGGCCCCTGCCCGTCCGTTACGACGGTCTGAGGTGTCGCGCGCGGCCCCGTCGCCGCCCGCAGTGGCCCCTTTCTTTTCTGGCGCGCCGCCCGCTGCCCCGTCGCGCCGCCCAGGGGAGCCGCGCGCGGCCCCCGCCCGTCCGTTACGACGGTCTGGGGTGTCGCGCGCGGCCCCGTCGCCGCCCGCAGTGACCCCATCCCCACCCGCCGCGGCCCCGTCTCCGCGGGCAGCGGCCCCGTCGCCGCCCGCGCGGCCCCGTGGCCGCGCGCCGTTCTCCCCGTCGTCCCCCGCGCTCCCTCCCCGTCCCACCCGTTCTTGGGTTTGGGGGTGAGGAGTGTGGGGGTGGTGGTTGTGGGGGTGTCCGCTGTGCGCGCCGTACCCCTCTTCTCCTCCTCCTTCGTCTCCCACTGCTGCAGCTGTCGCTGAGGGGGGTGGATGAGTGGGAGACTGGGGTTTAGGGTTTAAGGGGGGTGCGTGGGAGTGAATCTAGGGTTTGAGCAGTGGGCGTGTGTCGAGAAGTGTGGGGCAGTTGGGGAAGGTTGAGTGGAGGCAGCAGTCTTGTCGTCAGCAGCAGCAGCAGTCCGGAGGCTACAATCTCCGGTAGTCGCCAGTCGCGCGTGGGTCCGTTGCTCGTCTGCCGCTACTTTTAGCCGCGGGGCCAATTACTCTAGTAGTCCGGAGCATTGTTCCGGTAGCCACTGAGTCAGCAGCTCCCAACCCGCTGGGTTGGGAGGAACCAAGCTCACCAGAGAATATTGGCAGGAATGAGGCAGTAGGGGAGGCTTTATGTGCTCATGTACTCCTTATAGGCTTGCTGCAGGGAATACACTAGGGACAGGAGGCTAAGAAAGCCTTAAATCTATGCTATGCTAAGGCTAAGCTAAGCTAGAGAGCTTGGAGAGACTAAGGAAAGGGCCTAGTGCCTCTCTCTCTCTCTCTCTCTCTCTCTCTCTCTCTCTCTCTCTCTCTCTCTCTCTCTCTATCTCTCTCTCTCTCTCTCTCTCTCTAATGGTCCATGTAAGGAAAATGCCTAGTGCCTCTCTCTCTCTCTCTCTCTCTCTCTCTCTCTCTCTCTCTCTCTCTCTCTCTCTCTCTCTCTCTCTGGCTGCATTGGGAGTGGTGGCGGCAGCAGTGGTGGCGGCAGTGGGAGTGGTGGCGGCGGCAGTGGTGTCGGTCAGGGTGGAGCTGTTCAGAGGGGAGAATCTGGCGGTGGCCAGAGGCAGCAGCAGCAGCGTCCAAGCGATACCCCTACGCCCTAGCAACTTTGTGAGTGGTTTTCTTAACGTGGGGCGTCTGGGGGTAGTGTTCGCTGCCTGTATGTCATTCGCACAAGTGGTCGCGCTGGTCAGACATGCGGGAAGTTTCACACATAGGACCACTGCTTCTCCCGTCTTGACGACGCCTGGCGTGCAGTGTTTGGCGACGCGGCTGAGCTCCCCCGCTGGCTAGAGCTGCTTAGGCAGGATGTGGATATCTTTGCTCTTGACTATGATGCAATCCTTGCTACCATGTATGCTTTGACTGTTAGTGCTGAGGGTGACTGTTACCTGTGTGTGCCGCCCGACCCAGGTATAGAGGCTGCTGCTCTAGCTGCTAGTGAGTCAACTCTCCCTGGTACTGCGCTTGCTGAGGCCTTACACACCTTCACTCTTGACTCAGGTGCTTCCCGCTGTTTCTTTCGCGACAGTACCACAGTCACACCACTCCCTGCACCTATTGCAAGAAGACTGGCCGACCCCTCAGGGGGCCCAGTTCTTGCACGTTCCTCCATTGTTCTCCCGTGTCCGGCGGTTCCGTCTGGCTCACTCTCAGGTCTTCACCTCCCCTCGTTCTCCACAAACTTGGTGAGTACCACTGTCAGTATATCTGCACTGTGGATGCCCGATTGATCCTGGAGAGGGTTACAGGCACTTTCGCCTGGGGGGTTATGGGCGCACTGACCCGCTACTGAAACAAGCCCTTTTATCCCAATGGTCTAGTGGTTGGGATTCTGACAACCACTACCCTCCAGGATGCGATGGTCACTACCACCACTCCTGGGGGTCAGCGTGTGTCGATCTGCACGTGCATACGGACGGGCCGTCACGTGGCCACGTTCACCCGTTCGCCTGGGTCGAGTCTGTACACACTAACTACTAAGCCTCCTCAGGTAGCTGCGTCTGCATCCGCGTCAAATCAGCTTGCAGCCCCCTGCTCGTGTCGCCTCTTGTCGCACCAGACTCTCCTTTGGCACCATTGTCTTGGTCACCCCTCCCTACCACGCATCCGTGGCGTGCACTCCCGTCTCCTTGTCTCTGGTCTTCCCAGGTCTCTGCCTCCCCTCCCACCCTCGCCAGCCCCTCCCTGCCTTCCCTGTGTCGAGGGGCGGCAGCGCGCCGCTCCTCACTCCTCCTTGTTTCCCCCAACGACTGCTCCTCTGCAGACTCTCCACATGGACGTGTGGGACCCAGCCCACGTCCGTGGATAGGGCCGCGAGCGATGCTTTCTGCTGGTTGTTGACGACTACTCGCGTTACACCACGGTCTTCCCCTTGCGCAGCAAGGGGGAGGTCCCTGATGTATTGAACCCTTGGATCCGCGCTGTCCGTCTCCAGCTCCGCGAGCGGTTCCACACGGACCTTTCTGTCCTGCGTCTGCACTCTGACAAGGGTGGTGAGTTTGCCTCCGACCTCTTGCAGGACTTTTGTCGTGGGGAGGGCATTCGCCAGACGTTCACGCTTCCGGCCTCTCCGCTGCAGAATGGGGTTGCTGAGCGCCGCAATGGCTTAGTCATGGAGGTCGCTCGTACCTCCATGATCCATGCGGCTGCTCCCCATTTTCTGTGGCCGTTTGCGGTTCGGTACGTTGCGCATCAGCTCAACCTCTGGCCCCGTGTCTCCTTGATAAAGACCTCGCCTACACTGCATTGGACGGGGAAGGTTGGCGATGCATAGGTGTTCCAGGTCTGGGGCTCTTGTGCCTTTGTCCGCGATACTTCCGCGGACAAGCTCTCCTCCCGTGTCATTCCCTATGTCTTCCTTGGATTCCCCCCTGACGCGCCTCGCTGGCAGTTTTACCACCCCACCTCGTGTCGTGTCCTGCCCTCTGAGGACGTCACGTTTGACGTGTCGGTTCCCTTTTACCGTCTCTTCCCCTAGCGCACTGCCCCTCTCCCCTCCCCCCGCCGCTCTTCCTCGCACCAGGTCCACCTCCGGTAAACCCCCTCCCCCTCAGGGTCCTACTCCCTCAGGTGTATCTCAGGTAGACCTACTCCCCTTGGCTGAGCCTTTCGAGGTAGCTATCGACTTTGGTGCTGCTGGGGGGGGTGCTGCTAGAGGTTCTGCGTCTAGGGATGCTGAGCTTGATCGTGCGGAGCCTGGGGGTGCTGAGCCTGGAGGTATTGTGTCTCCTGGAGGTCCTACAGCTGCCTTGTCACGGCAAGAGCCTCTCTCTCCACTGCAGCTGCACAAGTGGTTTGCTCGGCGTACCCGCCTTCCGAGTGGCGCTGGTGGAGCTGGGGGGCTTGCCGCTGGAGACACTACCGCTGGAGGCACTGGAGCTGGAGGCGCTGGAGCTGCTGGAGCAGGTGGTACTGCTGCTACTGGAGGTGCTGCTGGTCCCGGAGGTGCTCGTACTAGAGGTATTGGAGCTGCCTACGCTCGTGGTGCTGCTGCTGCTGGAGGTGCTGGAGGTGCTGGAGGTGTTGGAGCTGCTGGTCATGGAGGTGCTCGTGATGGAGGTACTGGAGCTGCCGGAGCTGGTGGTGCTGCTACTGCTGGAGGTGCTGGAGCTGCTGGAGCTGCTGGTCCCGGAGGTGCTCGTACTGGAGGTACTGGAGCTGCTGGAGCTGGTGGTGCTGCAGGTACTGGAGCTGGAGACCCCCGAGCAAGAGGTGCTGGCGCTAGGGGTGCTATAGTTGTCGGTACTGGTGCTGGAGTCACTGTGCGGCTGCGACCGTACTTCGTTCCACTGCTTCGTCAGGCTCTTTGCCTCCCGTCTTCTACTGACCTTACTCCACCTCTACTGTATCTACAGCCAGCCTCCCCACTTCCTGATCCTTCTCCTTACACTGAGGAGACAGACTCTCTTACAGAGCGTCGTCAGCCTGCGTCTCGCCCTGCCTCGCTTGTTCGCGCTGGTCGCACTGGTCGTCGTGTTCCGCGTCCGCGTCCTCCTCCTGTTCCTGGCACTCACGGTATGGTACTTCGTCCTTCCTCTGTTCCACTGCGAGTTCCCCTGCCATCTCCTCCGGCGTCCTCTCTTCCTGACGTTCCGGACCCTGAGACTGACTTGGTTCGTGCTGCCAGCCCTACTGTTACACGTCTCCTAGCCACTGTTGTCACCGACCCTTCGTTTGAGTCCACTGCTGCGTCTGCCCTAGTTGCTGAGCTTGTTGACTTTGGTGCTACGTCTCGTCTCGACTTCGCCGCCACTCTGGTTGCTGAGTCTGAGACTGTCTGTCCTCCGTCCGTCGGGGGTGAGTGTGCTCTTGCCACGGACGTCCTTGAGGACAGGCAAGAGGACTTTGAGTGTCTTGCAGCTGCTGTACCTCATCTCGTGGCCATGCTGCTTGCACCTGAGGGAGAACCGGATGCACTAGACATCCCGACCCCGCGCTCTTAGGCAGAGGCGATTACGGGTCCCTACTCCTCTCAACGGCAGACATTAATGGACGCAGAGATGGCATCCTCGAAGTTGACAGGCACTTACATCAACGCATTTCCCCTTCCTGGGGCGAACATAGTCGATGGCATGTGGATTTTTAGGGTGAAGCAGCCGTCGGGTTCTCCGCCTATTTTCAAGGCTCATTACGTGGCATGAGGTTTTAGTCAGCGACAGGGAGTTGACTTCTTCCAGACCTTCTCCCCTACCCCAAAGATGACCACTCTTTGGGTGCTGCTGCACGTTGCCGCTCAGCGTGACTACAAGCTTCATGCTCTTGACTTCAGCACAGCTTTCTTACAGGGCACTCTGCACGAGGAGATCTGGCTGCGCCACCCACGTGGCTTCACTGGGTCGTTTCCTGCAGGTACCGAGTGGAGCCTCCGGCGGCCAGTCTACGGTCTCCGCCAGGCGCCTCGTCAGTGGCACGACACAATGAGGACGACACTTGCGGCACTTGGGGTTGCTCCTTCGACTGCTGACCCGTCGCTGTTTCTGCGCACCGACACTTCGTTGCCGCCATTCTACATCCTCGTATACGTCGACGACTTCGTTTTTGCCACTGCTGAAGAGGCACTGGCCCTTGTGAAGTCGGAGCTATAGAGGAGACACACGTGCATAGACCTGGGTGAGCTGCGCAGCTATCTTGGCTTGAAGAACACCGGGGACAGAGCACGGCGCACCATCACCCTGACTCAGTCACACATGGTGCAGCAGGTCCTTGAGCGCTTCGGCTTCACTTGGTCCTCGCCACTGTCCACTCCTTTGCCTACCGCTCACTCGCTCTCAGCTCCACCTTCGGACGAGTCCATAGAGCCGAGTGGCCCGTATCGAGAACTTGTGGGCTGCCTCGTGTACATGATGACCTGCACTCGACCTGACCTTCCCTACCCACTTAGCATCCTTGCACGCTACGTTGCGCTCGGGAGACACCGACCTGAGTACTAGGGCTCGTGCTAAGAGGGTGCTGTGCTACTTGTGTAGTACGTCAGGCATGGGGCTCGTGCTTGGAGGACAGGGTTCAGTTGTCCTCACTGGACACGCAAACGCTTCTTGGGTTGACGACATGCCTACGCAGCGGTCGTCACAGGGTTACACTTTCGGCCTTGGCTACGGCTCTGTTTCTTGGCGGTCTACCCGCTTGTCTTTTGTTCTCAGTTCAAGTTGTGAGGTTGAGATCTACGCAGGGAGAGCATGGCTGCATAGGAGTTACGCTGGCTCACCTACCTGTTGACCGACCTGGGAGAGCGGCCTTGTTCTCCTCCATTTCTGTACGTAGACAACAAGGCCATGATTGCCTTGTGTCAGGAGCACAGAATGGAGCACAGGACGAAGCACATTGCTCTTCGTTACTTCCTTGCTCGAGAGCTGCAGCAGCGTGGTCAGCTTCGTCATGCTTACGTGGCCACTCGGGCCAACACTGCTGATATATTCACCAAGGCACTTCAGTCTGGTGATCATCGGCGTTTCTGTACTGCTTTAGGCCTTCTGCTTGCTTCGTCTCACTTGCTCACTACGTGACTTTGCTTGTACTGTTATCTACATATATATACCTGCATGCTTACACTTGCTAGGTTGTGATCACTGTACTGCTTGTTCTCATTTATATAACTCTGCATGTGAACTAGCCTTGTGGCCAATTGCTTGTGCTCAGAGTGTGTGGTGACTTGTGATCCACCCTGAACTTACTCTGCTTTTCTTGACTGGTCTTGTGACCTCTTGTTCTACCCACTTTGCCTATGGGGGTGTGTCATACTATTATGTTGTATTTGTTGTGTAGGCTCCATTGGGGTAGCCGATACAAGGGTACAACTCAATTAGGGTTAGTACCACATTTCTATTCAATGCATTCATTCTCGCTTAGTATTCTGACACAGCTCGAGCACTTCGCGAGGCGAAAAAAATCAAATTGGGGCCGAGTTGAACTCAATCGTTGGATATATCCTCAAGGCTGCCTAAGTGGCTGGGCCGACCATCCGAACCGAGATTTGAGGAAATGACTTATATCTCGACTCTGTTGATTCAATGTTTTTGTCATACGTTATGATCACCGCCTGATACAAAGCTCGCGTCCTATTGAGAAAATTGAAACGAGAATGAATGAACTATGAATGAAGTGGGTACAAGTACTAACCCTAATTGGGTTGTACCCCCTATGGGATACCCCACTACAGCCTACACAAATGTATAAGCTATATAATGTTCTAACACACCCCCATAGGCAAAGTGGGGGAGAACAAGGGGTCACAAGACCAGTCAAGCAAAAACAAAGCAAAGCAAGCTCAAGGTGCAACTCAAAATCACCACACAGTCCGAGCACAAGGTCAAGGCCACAAGGCCAGTTCACATGCAAGAGTAGACATATATTTATAAGGCTAAACAAGCAAGAGCAGGTATATATATATATGTGACAGTAGAAGCAAGGTCAAGCAGGCACAAGACCCAGCTGAGTGCAGAAGCGCTGATGATCACAAGGCGCAAGTGCCTTGGTGAAGACATCAGCAGTGTTGGCCTCAGAGGCCACGTACGCAAGCCGCGGCTGTCCACGCTGCTGTAGCTCACGAGCAAGGAAGTCGCGGAGAGCAATGTGCTTTGTTCTGTGCTCCTGTCTCTGCTCTCGACACAAGGCCAGCATGGCCTTGTTGTCTACGTACAGGACTGGAGGAGAACGAGGCGGCTCTCCAAGGTCGGTCAGCAGGTAGGTGAGCCAGCGAAGCTCCTGTGCAGCCATGGCCCCGGCGTAGATCTCAGCCTCACAACTAGAGCCGAGAACAGAAGACGAGCGAGTAGCCCGCCACGAAACAGAGCCGGAACCAAGGCTGAAGGTGTAACCCTGTCACGACCGCTGCGTAGCCTGGTCGTCAGCCCAAGACGCGTCCGCATGCCCAGTGAGGACTACTGGACTCCGCCCTCCAAGCACTAGCCCCATGCCCGACGTACTGCACAAGTAGCGCAACACCCTCTTCGCTGCAGCCATGTGCTTTGGTCGGTGTCTCCCAGGAGCAACATAGCGTGCAAGAATGCTAAGAGGGTATGCAAGGTCAGGTCATCAGGTACATGAGGCAGCCAACAAGCTCTGGATACGGGCCACTCGACTCTACGGACTCATCCGAAGGCAGAGCAGAGAGTGAGTGGCGAGTAGGCAGAGGAGTGGCCTGAGGCGAGGAGTACGTGAAGCCGAAGCGCTGAAGGACCTGCTGCACCATGTGTGACTGAGTCAGGGTAATGGTGCGGCGTGCTCTGTCCCGGGTGATCTGCAAGCCAAGGTAGCTATACAGTTCACCCAGGTAAGTGCACGTGTGTCTCTTCTGCAGCTCGGACTTCACGTAGGCGAGTCCAGCAGTGTCAGCTGTGGCAAAGACCAAGTCGTCGACGTACACGAGGATGTAGAACCGCGGCAGAGAGGTGTCGGTGCGCAGAAACAGCGACGGGGCGGCAGTAGAAGGAGTAAACCCAAGAGCCGCAAGCGTAGTCCTCAGTGTGTCGTGCCACTCACGTGGCGCCTGGCGGAGACCGTAGACTGGACGCCGGAGACTCCACTGGGTACCAGGAGGGAAAGACCCAGTGAAGCCAGGTGGGCGGCGCAGCCAGATCTCCTCGTGCAGGCTGCCCTGCAAGAAAGGTGTGCTGAAGTCGAGAGAGTGCAGCTCGTAGTCACGGTGAGTAGCAACGTGCAGCAGTACCCGAAGAGTGGTCATCTTCGGGGTGGGGGAGAAAGTCTGAAAGTAGTCAACTCCCTGCCGCTGACTGAAGCCACGAGCCACGTAACGCGCCTTGAAGACAGGCGGAGAACCCGGCGGCCGCTTCACCCTGAAGATCCACATGCCACTGACGATGTTCGCCCCAGGAGGGGGGACAGCGTCAACGTAGGTGCCTGTGGACTTCCAGGAAGCCATCTCTGCATCCATAGCTGCCTGCCACTGAGAGGATTAGGGACCCTCAATCGCCTCCGCGTAAGAGCGCGGAGTCGGGATGTCAAGTGCATCCGGGTCTCCCTCACGGGTAAGCAGTACGGACACGAGATAAGATGAAGCAGCTGCCAGACACTGGAACTCCTCCTGCCTGTCCTCAAGGACGTCTGTTCCAAGGGCACACTCACCCCCGACGGACGGAGGACAGAGAGACTCAGACTCAGCGACAAGACTAGCAGCGTAGTCTAGACGACAGCGAGCAGCAAAGTCGACGAGCTCAGCAACTAGGGCAGACGCAGCAGTGGACTCAAAGGAAGGGTCAGCTATGACAGTAGCACGGAGACGCGTGACAATAGGACTGGCAGCACGAAGAGAGTCCGACTTCGGATCGGGAAGAGCAGGAAGAGAGGACTCATGAGGAGAAGGCAAAGGTGTGAGAGGACGTCCCCGTTATAATATTTTCTCACTATTATATTTTTCCGTTATCCTATTCTCCCTTTTCTCCTCTTTATTTTGGTCTTTATCTCATCTCAATCGGCCTACTATTCTATTTTCTAGAGCCTTCTATTTATTTCTCTTATTTCCTACTTTTCCCACCGACATACCTATTATACGGCACCGACAGCGCCGACAGTGGTGTATACGGTGTAATCTGGGCGTAATCCCAAGTGCCAATAGACTTGCGTGCTTATGCGCACTTGTGATTGTAGTATCGGGAAGGGTGTGTTCCCGAAGGTTCGTTTTATCTCGTTTATCCTTGTACTTTCTGAGTATAAATAGGCCTTGTATTCAGTTTTAGTGACAAGTTTCGATTGAGAATTCGATCCTGTGACACTTGGTAATCAGAGCCGTTCTCACTCGACAACTCTCGGCTAAGCAGCGGTCGCGGAAAAAATCGCCTCGAAAAACCGCCGGGGGCGACCAATTCGACGCCGATTTCTGGTAAGTACCAGTTCCGCGCTTTTCGAATTAACCCCCTCGCGTGGTTTTTGAACAGGATGGGTTCGCCGGCGACCAACGACGTTACGCAGCAGCTCTTCGCGCAAATCG